GAAAGCAAGCCCCATATTCAGATCACACCTCTGCCTTTTCTCCCCCAAGATCCTGCACACATTGCTGCCCAGAGATGGGTATCAGTTAAAATGTCCTATAAATCAGAGTTTCACAAATCACCCAAATCCCATGGCAGCATTCAAATGTCTTCTAGTGAATGTCCCTGAAAGATTAAATCATTTCAGGGTCATTCCAAGCACATAAGCAAAGAAACAGCTGGGGGTAGGCAGAAACAAACAAAAGAAAACAAGGAAATGAAAAATGAAACAAAAGAAAAGAAGCAAAATAATTTCCTTAATTTTAAGAGACTTGAGATGGACAGTTTTAACAACCAGAATCACAGTGTGCAAATGATCAAACTTGCAACAAATGGATTCATTGCCCCTGAAACCACATCCTGAACCATAAGAAATGATGTTTAGTGCTGCAAACCAGGCATCATAGCATGGCAATGACTTTAACACATCTGAAATACCTCTACACAGCCCAAAATAAAGAGATGGATCAACTGCAGGCTCTCCTAAATCAAAGACATTCCAACACGTTTTCAATCCACAGTCTTAGAGCAGTAATTTCCTGTAGCTTCACCCCATCATGAAAACCAGGGAGAATCAGAAGAACAGAAAAAATTCTTCCTGCTGCTCCAGTGTGACACCTCCTCCATTCTCTCCTCATGCAGGGAGCCCAGTAAGGTTCCTCAGAAAAAAAGAAACTTACTTTTCTTTCACAGCTTGGGCCATCACTGCATCCCCTCCCTGTTCCTTTCCTGTTGGAATCCTGAAGCCTGGGAGTTTTGAGCTTTCTGTGCTTTCTGGCACTGACCCCCAGGAGAACACTGCTTTTGACCTGAGGCCTTGGAGAAGGCTCCAAATTTGAGTGATGGAGTTAAAATCACTGGTGTGTAGTTAAACAGAACTGTGGGATTTCACATGGTTTGTGAATTTGGGGTTTTTAGAATATAGCAACAAGATATGGGACAAGATGGAGGTTCTTGGGTGTTGTCTCTTTTTCCTTCTTTTTCCTTCTTCTTCATAATTTCAGGCAGTAATTTTTGGTTGGATAGAAAATCCCGCAGTGTGGGTCACAGGGGTTTGGTCATTGGGTCAAAAGTATAAATAACAGAGATGTTAGTTTTTAATTGGATAGTTAGGCCTTAAAAGACCTTGTAATGAGCAAGATACAGCTCCATTTTCTCCCTTTTAGCTTGTTAGCTAAAAGTGCTGTAAAACTCACAGTACTACAGATGAGAATTAATAAACAACTGAGTGAACACAAAACTTTTGTCTCTTGTGCTTCAATCCTGACTCTGAGTGAAGGCAGAAGAAAAAAGAAGACAGCCACTGATATGGGGTGCCACTGATATGGGGTGCCACTGATATGGGGTGCCACTGATACTTTCCAGCTCAAACATCTTTTTATTAAATTTATGAATGGGACCAACAGCGTACATCACGTTCCAGAAACAGGTGGGAATATTTTCATTTTTCCTTTTTTCTGCTTCCCTAACAGCTTCAGAATGCAGTTTCCCATTTCTGACCACAGAGCTCACTCAAATCCAAAGACCTTATGATGCTCCCTTCAGCTGTGCTAGCCTGGGTTTATCTCCATGCATTTTTCCTGATGTTTTACCACTTCCCTACTGCCCTGTGCTGGTTTTTGGCTCCACCAATGCCCACCTCCACAAACCCACCCCAGCCACCTCCTCCAGGCTTCCTGCTGCTGTTTGCTCCGGGGGGAGAGGCAAGACAAACTCGGCAGTTTATTTTTGCTGAAAATCTTTTCAGGGCCCTCTTCAAATGCCATTGGCAAACCAATGCAGCCACTCCTGGCCCCAGGTTCACTGGTCCCTGCAGTGTTAGAGGGTATAAAATAAAAGCCTGAGTCCCTCAGAGAGAAAAAAGAATGCACAGATTGAAATAAAGCTTTTAAAAAAATTAAAGTATATTAAGCCACACAGACATAAAGTGTAAGAAGTGTAAGTCTTAGTTTTAAATAAGCAGGAATATACTTGAAGTGCATTAAGAGAGTAAAAAGCACTAAAGCCCAGTTTAAAGTTCAGTAGCCTAAAGCCTACTTTGAAGTTCAGTAATTTAGCTCCAGACATAACAAAAATAGAGCAGAACATTGCTTGCATTTCTAGATAGAACAGATAGAAACCATTTATGTGAACAGACAGAACTATATGGTAAATTACATGTAAAAACTGACACTAGTTTTGTGTTTTAAAGTTAGGTTCTGATAAGTGTAGAAAGAATGTTTTAGAAGTGTTTTTAGCTCATTGGATGATTTTGGGGCCACAGAACACACACACACACTTAGAAGAAGAGAAAAGAGACGGAAGGAGGAGGAGGAGAAGGAGGAGGAGAAGGAGAAGGAGAAGGAGAAGGAGAAGGAGAAGGAGAAGGAG